CCGCGCCGCAGCAGCTGCCCTTGGTGCAGGTGCCTGTGCACTTGCTGGCACAAGCTTCGTCGCCCCGCAGGTGCCTCAAACAGCTGCCCAGCAGAGCCTTGGACACGCCCTGGCGGAGCCACGCAGCGCGGCGTCCAGCAGCATGAGCACAGTCACAGGCGTTGCGAGCATGGCCGGCCTGGCAGCTGCTGCCAGCATGGGCCGGCAACGCAGCACCAAGACCGCCAAGCAGCAGCGCATGATTGCCATGAAGGCCCGAGGAGGCGAGGAGGACACCCGAGTCTGCATTCCTCTGGAGGAGCTGCGCAACACCGATGTGGAGAAGGTCGGTGGGAAGAGCGCTTCGCTTGGAGAAATGATTTCGCAGCTTTCAGATGTGGGTGTGCCTGTGCCTGGTGGCTTCAGCACAACGGCCTACGCCTACAAGGAGTTCCTGGACAAGGGCGGCATCAACGAGTTCATCAACGACAAGCTCTCCGACGAGTCCATCTACGAAGATGTGGACAAGTTGATGAAGGTGGGCAAGGAGATCCGTGACAAAATCATGGACACGCCCTTCCAGACCAACTTTGAGGAGGAGCTGAAAGCACAGTGGCAGCGTGTGAGCGGCGGCGATGATAAATTCACCTTTGCGGTGCGTTCGTCTGCCACGGCTGAGGACTTGCCAGATGCTTCCTTTGCAGGCCAGCAGGAGACTTACCTGAATGTCATGGGCTATGACGACATGAAGGAGAAGGTGCACTTGGTGTTTGCTTCCCTCTTCACGGACCGAGCAATCTCGTACCGCCATGACCGCGGCTTCGAGCACGAGAAGGTGCAGCTGTGCGCCACCTGCCAGAAAATGGTGCGCAGCGAGACGGGGTCCGCGGGTGTGATGTTCTCCCTGGACACGGAGAGCGGCTTCCGTGACGTGGTCTTTGTGACTTCGGCATACGGGCTCGGCGAGACCGTTGTCGGCGGCACTGTGAACCCTGACGAGTGGTATGTCTTCAAGCCGACCCTTGCAGAGGGCAAGAAGTCCATCATCTCCCGCACCATGGGCTCAAAGCTCGTCAAGATGGTCTACAAAGCTGGTGGAGGGTCCGAGACCATTGACACCAGCGGTGAGGAGAGGGAGAGCTGGTCAGCCTCAGACAAGGAAGTTACGGACTTGGCAGAGATGGCAGTGAAGATCGAGAAGCACTATGGGCGACCCATGGACATCGAGTGGGCACGGGACGGTGATGATGGTAAGCTGTACATTGTCCAGGCACGGCCCGAAACGGTCGCCTCCCAGAAGAAGGTGGGCGTCATCGAGGAGTACAAGATGTTGGAGAAGGGTGGCGAGAAGGTGGCCGAGGGCCGTGCCGTGGGCAAGCGCATTGGAAGTGGCAAGGTGAACATCCTTACCAGCATCGACCAGATGTCCGAGTTCAACCAGGGTGAGGTCTTGGTGGCTGACATGACCGACCCTGATTGGGAGCCTATCATGAAGAAGGCTGGGTGTTCTGCGATTCAAACTCCTGTTGCGTTGCATGACCTGTGGATCTGTTCCTGAGGCCGGCGCCATCATCACCAACCGTGGTGGCCGCACCTGCCACGCAGCAATCATTGCTCGTGAGCTTGGCATCCCAGCCATTGTTGGCTGCGGTGATGCAACGGACAAGGTGAAGAAGGGCGACCCGGTGACCGTGTCCTGCGCTGAGGGCGACACCGGCTACATCTACGCAGGTGAGCTGAAGTTCGAGAAGAACGTGCAGGACCTTGGTGAGCTGCCGGAGGTAGGCTTGAAGATCATGATGAATGTTGGCAATCCGGAGACAGCCTTCAGCTTTGGTCAGCTGCCCAATGAGGGCATTGGCTTGGCACGCCTCGAGTTCGTCATCAACAATGCGATCGGGGTGCACCCCAAGGCCCTGCTGAACTATGACACCTTGGATGCGGAGACCAAGGCACTGGTTGATCAGCGCATGCGAGGATACTCAAGCCCTAAGGAGTTCTACATCAACAAGATTGCGGAGGGCGTTGCAACCTTGGCTGCCTCTGTGTATCCGAAGCGCATCATCGTGCGCCTGTCCGATTTCAAGTCCAACGAGTACAAGAGCCTCATTGGCGGTGAGCAGTATGAGCCTGATGAGGAGAACCCAATGATTGGGTTCCGTGGCTGCGGCCGCTACACTGACCCATTCTTTGAGGAGTGCTTTGCCATGGAGCTGGAAGCTGTGAAGATCGTGCGCGGCGAGATGGGCCTGAAGAACGTGGAGATCATGATCCCGTTCGTTCGCACTCTGGACATGGCCAAAGATGTCAATGCAGTGCTGGAGAAGAACGGCCTGAAGCGTGGAGAGGATGGGTTGAAGGTGAACATGATGGCTGAGCTCCCCAGCAACGTGTTCTTGGCTGAGGAGTTCCTGGACTACTTCGATGGTTTCTCCATTGGAAGCAACGACCTGACACAGCTGACGTTGGGCCTGGACCGCGACTCCGGCCTGGTTGCCCAGTACTTCGATGAGAGGAATCCGGCCGTCATGAAGGGCCTGGAGACCTTGATCAAGGCCGCCAAGGCCAAGGGCAAGTACGTTGGCATTTGTGGCCAGGGACCCTCGGACCATCCCGACTTGGCCAAGTGGCTCATGGATCAGGGCATCGACTCCGTGTCCCTGAACCCCGACTCCGTCATCCCGACCTGGCAGTTCCTGAGCAAGTGAGAGATG